AACCCTATAAACTAAGGAGTTTAGCCAAAAGAATCAACCAGAAACTGAGCCCTAGATATTATGGGCCCTTTCCAATAATTGAGAAGATAAGTAAGTGGCATTTAAGCTGAAACTACCTGAAGACAGCAAAATGCATCCGATGTTTCACATTTCATTATTGAAGAAGGCAATATCACCTACAACAGTTTCTCAACCATTGCCTAGATGTCTGGATGAAGAATGGGAGTTACAGGTGGTCCTAGAAGAAATTTTGGACACTAGAATAAACAAAGAAGGAAAGGTGGAGGTTCTGGTACATTGGAAAGATTTGCCACAGTTTGAAGACTCGTGGGAGTTGTTGCAGGCACTGACAGATCATTTCCCAGAAGTTCACCTTGGGGACAAGGTGTATTTTCAGGGGGGAGTAATGATAGGCAGTGGGTAGAAAGGCCTAGTCACTACTTTAATAAAGTTTACAAAAGAAGGGATAAGAGGGCTGGGGTTAATTAATGTATTACTTTTCCTTTTAGTCCCTGCGTGGACAGACTACTATAAATAGAGGGGAGGTAGTAAAAATAAAACAGGCTGTTATTCAGATGTTTTGTAGTCTGGGAGATGGGACATCTCAAATTGTCCTAGAGCACTGTATCCATTTGCGATCTGTTCTATTTTCTGAATAAAAGTCTCACTCGGTTCTCACTCTTGTTTCTGTTGATTTCTGCGTTACTGTGAAATCTGTACTTACCAGATCCCATCATCAAGGCATCCATTTGTACGGCCAGCATTCTATTTCATCCGCTCCGCTCGCAGACACCTCCCGTGCTTAGTGTTGCTATGATCGTATGTTCTCATTTGTTTTCAGTTTTTTTTTTGTTTTTTTAAAGGAGTTTATTTTTTGTTTTTATTGTTTGCTGCTTCGTATGTTTTTGTTTTTAGTTTTTTATTGCTTTTCCTCCTTTCTTTTCTGGTTGTTTTTCGTTAGCAACCTTCCACTTTCACTTTATATTCAATACGTAGTACGAAGTATAACATAAAATATTATAAATATATTATTTAATGTCCTAGTTTTTCCCCTTTTCCTATCAAACGTCTAAATTAAGTTTTTTATTTATGTATTATAAACATTTTAGGTATTATTTTTTTATTTTTCTATTTTCAATTTAAGATGAATATTTATTAGTTTATTAAATATTGTGTGTTAATTACTAACATGAGTTTTGTGTTATGCTCTGTACCAAAATGAGAAATGATACATGTGCAAAAATGAACATTTAAACACATTAGAGAATTTAAACGAGCTTTTGAATTTTTTTATTTTCATTTTGTAAGTTACGTACGTTCATCTGGTACTGATTTTATGCTCATTTTAAAATGTCATATTAATGCATATTTCAAAAGCTTCATACAATAGTATTAGATTCACATGGGGGCATAGACCATGATACTAAATTGCATGCTTCTGATACTCGATAGAAGAGATTTAATGTTCAATGAAAATGTTTTGATGCTGAACTAACAAATCTTATGATTTTCATATTTGATAGAGTATTTGGTACTCTATCAATATTATTGCTCATTTGGTACGTTTTGTATGCTCATTTGGTACTGGATCTGTGCTCATTTTAAAATGCTATATCAATGCATACTACAAAAGGATTGTATTACGTAAGTTTCACGTAGGAGTTGATTATAGATACTAGATCGAGCACATACCTTGATTATCTATTGCATGTTTCTAATATTCAATAGAAGAGATTTGATGCTCAATGAAAATGTCTTGAAGCTCAATTAAAAAAAATATAATTTTCATATCGATGCTCATTTTGTAAGTTATATATGCTCAATTTATACTGACTTATGCTCATTTTTAAAATGACATATCAATGCATATTTCAAAAGTACTATATTACATTATATTCACATATTGAAGTTTCATAGGAGTTGATTATATATATAATTTAATAATTTTTATAAAAGAAAAAATAAGAAAAAGAAAGTGAATATAAGATATGAAGCAAAGATCTCGATGCTCAATATCAGACTCCTAATACTCAACAGAATTGGTCTAATACTCAGTAAAAGTTAATGAGAAGTTAATTAATGCTCATTTAATAGAAACCGTCAATTTCATCTTAATAAAGGATGCTTGATGCTCAATGAAAATGTCGTGATATTCAACTAACAAATCTTACGATGTTCATATCAATGCGCATTTTGTAAGTTACTATGCTCATCCGGTACTCATCTCATACTCATTTTTCTAAATGTCATATCAATGCATTTTTTAAAAGTACTATTCTATTTTGCATTAGGTTCACATATTACAATTCATACAAGTTGATTATAAATATAATTTAATAAGTTTTTATAAAAGAAAAAATAACAAAAAGAAAGTGAATTAGAAGTTATGAAGCAAAGATCACGATTATGAATATTAGACTCTTAATACTCAACATAATAGGTCTGATGTTCATTAAATATTCATTAATACTCATTCACTAGGAATCGTGATTTTCATCTCAATGTCGAAAGTTTGATGCACACTTAAAATGTTGTAATGTTCAACTACCAAACCTTACGATTTTCATATCAATGTATACTTCGTTAGTTATGTATGCTCATTTGGTTCTGATGTTATGGTCATTTTGAAAATGTCATATCCATGCATATTTCAAAAGTATCATATTACATTAGACTTGCATATTCAAATTAATATGAGTGAATTATAAATATAATTTAATAAGTTTTTGTAAAAGAAAATATTAAAAAAGAAAAATAATTAGAAGATATGAAGCTGAGATCGTTATACTCATTGTTAGCCTCATATTACTCAATACAATAGGTCAGATGCTCATTATAAGGTACACTATTGCTCATTTAGCGATCGATAAATTTTAATGAGCATCAGATCTATTACGTTGAGTATACGAGCCTAATTTAATCTGGAGTCCAATTTAAATAATTTAATTACATTACATTACACTATTGCAATAATGAATATATTTAAATGCTTTGTACAATTCTTTGGTTTAGGGACAATTTGTATAGACTACAAAAAAAAATCTTTTTTTTAACAAATTATTTATGCCATGATGGAAATGTAGAAAACCCATACAAATGTAGGAAACACATACATAATACTCCGGTTGGGAAGAAAATCCCAAATGGAAAGGTGGCCATGGGAAGAAAGTCGCTCCAGTCAAATTTGTATCCTATGGTCGCGATTCGCTGGGAAAATCAACGGCTGAGTAATGGAGTTCCTGACCCGGGACAAAATGTCAGCCCAACAGTCAAACTCAATAATTGGATCAGCCCACCAGTCAAACTCAATAATTGGGTCCGGATGTACGTACACCGGGGTGTACTATATAGGAACTCCCATCCTAGAAAAAAACTTAAAAAAAAAAAAAATGGCCCACCCTATAAATCCCTTTCGTCCGGAATCCATCGCGCAAGTAGCGGCCAGCCGTCCAACGGTTGAGGCCCAAAAATCGAAATCCCAAATTCATCTCGACAGACCATGAGCCCACAATCCGCAGGGGGCTAATCGGCAGTCGACCCATCAGTTCGTAACTTCCATTTCCTTCATCCAGGTTTCTACCTTTACCCTTCGTTTCTGTAATTTCAATTCCATTTATGCATTTAGGCTTTGGCTTCTTGATATTCAGATCTTGAAGTACCGAACAAGCTAATTAAAGCTCCCCACTGAAGTTGTTTCTAACTGCTTGTTTGGTATGAATGAATTAATGAATGATTCAATACTTATTTCGAATTCCAGCATTCCAATTTCATGATAGACCCAATATATCATACTACGTAAAGTACAAGTATTTATCAATTTTGTGTAGACCCAATTTGGATATTGACTTATACGGATTATATGATTTTGTCTCGTTTTTTGTAGACCCAATTTTTGCTAGACCCAATTTGGTTCTGGACTTATCAGTTATCACTCTCTTCTCTCTTCTCATGCCATTCAGGTCCTCGCCCAATTGCCGATAAGTTTGTTAATTGTTTAGTGTTATTGTATCTTTTATATTCAATTTAGGTGTGTAAGTGTGTTATTTGTGACCATAATTTATATTCAATTTGATTTGTGAATTGTGATTCTTAGGTTCTAATGTGTTATATGCTACATTATATTCATTTTGATTCATTTGATTATTTGTGGAAAAAAAAGGATGACACCCCATCCCTGAGGGTCCCCAACACCGACCGGACGGCACGATGTGAGAGTGGGGCTCTGTCCCCGGTACTTGCAGAAGCCCTATGCATTTTTCAGCATAGTAACCCCTCATCGCAGTTGCCGGGATTCGAACCCGAGACCTAACCCTTGTGGCACTCCCTCACTACCAGTTGAGCTACGCCCACCGGTTGATTATTTGTGATTTGTGATTGGTAGGTTCTAATGTGACTTGTTACTATTAATGTAAATATGTAACTATTTAGTTACATAGTACTACGTATTAGTGTAGTAACTAGTAATCTCATTGTTTTGAATAAAGGTAGTGAAAAGATATTATAACCCTCTTCGGTAGGAGCTAATCAAGATATATGAAAACGCGGTTGGAACATTTGTAAAACTTGTGGGGTTTTTGTATTTGACTTTGATAAAATCTCTGAATATTATATTTTGACTTTTTTATACTCCGTATATGTTATTTAATTAAATTGCCCTCCACCGAATCACAAAGCTAGAAAAGTCTACCCAGGCCCGGAGCCACCCCAAATTTAAAAATTGCATATATTTATAGTAATTCCGTGTAAAAAATCCTAAAAAATATTCTTTGTATCAAATATATAATTCTAATAGTCTTATTGAAATTATCATTATTGAAACATTTAAGTAGCTCATGTATTGTTTAAAAGGGATTCATCATTTTTTGGTGTATTTAGTTAAGTTTATTAGTCATTTTTCTGGCTTCGCGGTGATTGCTTATTATGTCGTACCTCCGTTATTCGATCTCATATACTCATATACGTGAATGCATAATTATCATGTTAGATGGATAAATGCATTTCTCATGAACAAGTTTTTTTTATTAGTAGCCCGATCCTGAAATACGCAGAATATAACTAGCTCGATCCCTGATTTAGCTAGACCACATTAATCCTCGTTGTGGTCAACGAAGCTAAGGGCCGGAAATTGGACGACTTATTGAAACTGTACGTACGTACATCTATTATCTTAGCTAGCCGGGATCGATCTGTTATTGTTATTACAAATTATACGGAGTAAAAGTTAACGAACTAATTATGCTACATCGATATGTATGAGCCTTCCTGCGTATACGATATGATGAAGCTAGCTGCTAAGCTAAGCTTCGGCTCTTCCAGCAGCAGCTGCAGCTTGGTGGCGGTGACGAGCTGGATGCTGGCGGGGGAGGCGGAGAATAGGGCGGGGATGGCGGGTGCAGTAGTCGTAGGCGTGACCGAAAGGGCGAGCGCGGGGGCGGCTGAAGAGGTGCTGGGACAAGGTGGACATGACGTAGGACTGGCCGGCGATGATACCGGATGTGGAGGGGGAGTCGGCCAGGACGATGGAGTAGCCGTCGTCCCAGTCTTCCATGCCCTCGGCCATGAGCTGCCAGATCATGGCCCCGGCCATGGTTCCGCTGGAGTGGGCCAGGTTGTAGGCGTCGCGGTAGACGCTGGTCATGAAGGTGTCTCGGGAGGTGAGGGTGTAGCCCGGGTCGTGGCTCGACTTCCCGAACTCCGCCAGCACCAGCGGCTTCTTCAGCATGTTCTCCGCGTCTTGCCAATGGCTTGATATCCACCGCATCATGAACGCCATCTGCTCGTCATCACTCTTTCCCGACTCCCTGCATGTATATATGTATGTGCACGTCAGAACCCATATACATACTATCGTATGAGAAAATTTTGAATTAAGAATTAAAACAAAGATAGTGTTTCTAAATAGGACTATCTTCTGACTCATTTACTCCTATTCTAAAAAATTTAATCAACTTATTCTTTTAATAGGATTAAATAAGTCTTATTTGGGAAATAAAACATATTGTACTTAATCCTATTGTTGAACTTTGTATAAGTTTTAATCCTATATTGAGAATCCTATATAGCAATTTGATTTCGACACATTGGAAGAGCTGGGGGGCGACCGATTTTTTTTACTAATATTACTTATAATATGTTTCTTGCCCAGGCTTCTTTTTTTAAAAACAATAAGTACAACTTCAGGTTATTTTAAGATTAAGTGTTAAAATAAATAAAAAAGTATTTAAAAAAAAAGTAAAAAATGAAATATAGAATAAAAGGGGATTAATTGATTCATTGACCAAAAAAAGTAATGCTTAAAAAGAGACAAATGGGCATCTAGTCTAAGGCCAAGTAGAAAAAACGGGCATAAGTAGAAAAATGAAAAAAAAAAAAAACAAATCAAAGCCCAAACCACGACTTACTAAAGTCTAAAGCCATTAAGTGATCAAAAATTCAAAGCTTAATTAACAAAAGACCTAGGCAAGGCAGTCGGCAGTCCCCTTCCCACTCGGCGAAAAAAAAAGAGAATCGAGCAGTTGAGAACGCAGGCAGGCAGCGAACGTGAGAAGCAGCATAGCCCGCTCCCTCTTCGGCTTTACTCCCGACAGAAATCTACCTTCCTTCAGTTCTCCCCATTTGTTCTCAGATTCTCCAATTTTCAAGTAAGTTTCTCATTCGCCAATGTGCAGCATTTTCAAAATATGAAAACTCGTAGGATTGATTTGCCTAGGTTGCAGAAGTAAATCAAGTAGTATGTAATGAACTATAATTTTTTGCTAATTTATTACGCTATTGTTGTTCTTATTATATTTTGGACACACACTTTAAAATTTTTAGTCTTCAATTTGCCCCTCCTTGGACAAACATCTGGCTCCGCCACTGTTTCGACATATTTAAAGATTTCTATCATTTTTTATACATTTCCAAGTTTACGTATTATTAGTATTATAGATAGTACATTTGATCTATCGTTATATTATTGATGTAGTGCACGCAGTGGCGGATCCAGAAGTTTCCCGAAGCAGGGGCACTCCAACATAGATGAAAATGGGTCGGGTCGGGCCGAATTAGGTGTATCATTGGTCTTTTTTGTTAAGTGCGTTCAAATTAATATTTTTAACTGGAAATAGATTATTCAATGCCGACGTCAAGCAGTGAACATATATGGATTATAAATCTAATTGTGAACTCGTTAAGACAATTCTAAACAATAATATTTGACTTTTGAAAAAAAAATACAGAGTACATAATTTGATGGATAAGAAATGACTCATCTTTGTGCAGTTTATGATTTTACATTAGAATTTTCGTTATTTTTCATACTATACAATGATCAAGTTGTACTTGAATGAAATATAATACCATCGTGTTAAAAATGAAGTATAAGTCAAGTTTACGATTTTATCATTTAATACAACTTTATTTATTAATATGATTCTATATATATATATATATATATATATATATATATAGAGTAATCTTCCGGTCAGGTATACCTGACCGGAGCCGCCGTCCGGCCTCCTCCTTTTGGGGGCCTTCCCGGTGGTATTTTTTGCTCAAATTTTTTGTGTATGTTCCTCATCAAGTCTAGTTTATCCATACCAAATTTCAGCCAAAAATGAAATCGGGAAGGTCGTCAAATGATTTTTGCAAGTTAACTGGTCCGGAAAATACATATTCCGGACCAGTTAACTTGTAAAAATCATTTGACGACCTTCCCGATTGAATATTTTGCTGAAATTTGGTATGGATGAACTAGACTTAATGAGGAACCTACACAAAACATTTGAGCAAAAAATACCATCGGGAAGACCCCCAAATGGAGGAGGCCGGACGGGGGCAGTGGTCAGGTATACCTGACCTGAATATTTCTCTATATATGTATATATATATACCTTTTACGAGTATCATATTATAGAAAAAATTTAAAGGGTTTGTCAGTTTGAAACTAATTTATCGCGAATTGATACATTCTTTCATGTATGTACTTTTATTCAAGATAAAAGTCTTCAATCTTTTAAGTTTATCCCGCATATTAGAACCTTTTTCATATCTTTGAACTTTAACTTTGGATCGATTATTCACAACAAGTAAAAAATTATCAATGCCACTTTTCAAAGAAAGTGCAGTAACCATATAACAACATATCTAACTATAAGAATATGCTACATCACAACTTCAGAGTTTATATTTCTTACTACAATTATTATATGTTTTGACGGAGTCCTATATTTCTAATAGTTTTTTGAAATAATGACAATATGATTGAAATAAAGATAGTGGACAAAAATATGACTTAGGTACTGTTAAGACTCATGGTTACATCCTAAAAAGTCAACCTGTTAGGAAGAGTAGCCCAAAGCCTTATATAGTGTTTAATTGTTTTATAGCTTTCCGGTGTGGGACAAATGCTTCAACACGCCCCCTCAGCCCGATCCGGGCTGGACAATATCGGGGTGTATAAACGGGGCAAACAAACCCTTAACAAGCTACCCTTAATCATGGATGCTAAACAAGCCGTCAAACCACAACCGGAATTGGCTCTGATACCATGTTAATGACCATGATTATGTTCATTAGTTATATTCTGGTAATATTTATGAAAAATACTCTAATTTTTTGTCCGGATAGCAGGGGCACAGTTTTTATCTTAAGTACCAATACTACACTTCATGCTCGGAAGCCGGGGCACTTGCCCCCCTAGGCCCCTCCATAGGTCCTCCACTGAGTACACGGTTTTTCTATAACTAGCATTTTATCCGAGAGTTGTCTCGTGCGGATTTTTAGAATGTTCGGATACTTTGAAAGATATATATACAATATACGTAGTATAAAAATTCATCATTTTACTTTAAATAAATGTTTATTCATTGTTGATAGTAGATTATTTAAAGAGAATATATTACTCCACAAAGTAATATTGTAATGTAAAACCACACACACCAAACATTGCATTGTTAGGTTTTGGGAAACCTTCTTATAAACCACATTGACACCCTTGGTAAAGAAATTTGTTTCTTTTGAGCAAAGTTTAGTTGTGGTTTGATTGTTGCATGTTTAGCACTCATAATTAAGGATATCCCATTAATAGTTTGTTTGATCCATATATGCACCATGATGTTGTTCTACCTGATTTGGGATTAGAAGTCAGCATAAAACAATAAAACGATACGTAAGATTTTGGGTTACTCCTCTTATTAAGTTGACAATTTAGAATGGAACAGTGAATGGACAAATACTATATCCTCTTTTTTTAATGAGTACCGAAGCAAATACCTTGTTGAAATAGTAAAAACAATAACGTTTGAAGAAAACAACGTACGTAACATAGCCGGCCATACGACACCGGAGAATAGTTGATAGCTAGAGAATTAGAATAATGACCTTCTAGAGATGATAGAGCCATGCATATAATCTTCGGTATTTAATTTGTCAGCGTCCAACAAAATGGAAAGATATAGATGATGGATGACACATGCATATACATACGTAGCGTAATAGAGGAGTACTTTTCTAGCAAGAATTCATCTTTAATTGACCAAATGAACTCTGATCTTCAATCCTACCGCTACAACAGTTAACAGTATATTCGAACCAAGGCTTTATTTATGGTTAATTATATCTAAAAATTCAGATCGAATGCTTTATCTATTATACATTGGATTGACATGATCCAACTCATTATTTGATTATTTATTTATATTCAAATTATTTTAACTACAATAATATCTTAATTAATCCAGAAATGCAACGCACGTACGTACCTTGAAATGTACCATCAATTCAATTTTGCTTTACTTATTTATTTAAAAACCAACAACTGATCCCATGTTAATGGTTGAGAAATTAAAGTACTCCCGTTATATATATGGTGTACACGTACTATAAATACACACAAATTTAGTATATACTCCCTCCGTTCTTAAATAAATGCAACGGTCAATATTTCACACTTGTCGAGACATAACTTTGACCACTAGTATATATATAAATTTATATTAGTAAAAAAAATTAAAAATTAGATTTTGAAAATTTACAATGAGACAAATTTAACAACATTTTTTTTCATAAAAATATATTCATACATTAATAAATAAATTAAAACGTAGTCAAAGTGGAACATGGGAATAGTGTAAAATTCAATATGTTGCATTTATTTAAGAACATAGATAGTATATAGTAAGTGAATTCAATCATGCTTTGTGCAGGCGATTTTTGTACTCGCCATTTTACACGCCGAACAAATTGTACATGTGTTGACAACTTTTTTTGTTTTGGGAAGGAATTTTTTTTCGCGCCGGGACATCTTTTTCCCATTTATAGTACATATAAAAAAAGTTGCCGGTGCAAAATGCAATCACCATCACAAACGAAAAGAAATTATCGAGACAATTTAAGTGTAAAATGACATGTGTAGAGATCGAACTTGTACCCATAGCATTATCCAAGTGAATTACGTACGTACCATTGATCAGTGTAGGCATGTATGGTGGCGAAGTCAATGTCTTGGAGCATATGGCTGGTGAGGAAATCCGTGCCGACCGAGTAACCAGGATTGTATATCTGTCTCTCTGGCTTGCTTTCTCCGTAGAAACCCTCCATTCCCGTTTCCAACAAGTGTTTCTTGTCCAATGATTTCACGTAGCTTGCCATCTCTTCTATCCACCCCTGCACGTATTTTAACAACGACCATTGGGAGTTTAATTTAATTAAGAGTCTTGCCACTTTTAGTCTTTGACATTTTTCATATTGGTTTTTTATTTTTTTCATTGTTAGACATTGACATAGATTAGAGATACTTTTGGTACCCCTTTTAGAAATTTTCATATATATATATATGTAATCCTTCGACTTTCATAAAAATAAGTTTTGATGCTTCAACTATTATAATATTGTCATTTTTAGTCCTTTATACTTATTATGTCAAAATCATAGTAGAATAACTAGAAGTGTCAATTGTTATATTCAAAAGGCTAAATGTGAGAAACTTTGAAGTCGAGAATTAAAAGCATCTCTAGCACAATATTTAATAGGGGACTGAAAAAAGGTTAAAAGTCGAGTATTAAAAGTGTCAGTGACACAATAGCCGGTGGATAGAAAGTGACAAAAATTCTTTAATTAACTTGCAAGCTATAAGGCTCGTCCATAACGTACGTACGTACATTAACGGTCTTCCCGGAGTAATCCACGTTGCAGCGAGGCTCGTTTATGAGTTCCCATGCCATGATCGTTGGATCCTCCATATATTCAATCCCCGTTATAGTATTCATTCTTGTTATCACTTTCTGCAAAGGCCCGCGCCCAAATATTGTCAAACATACTTACTAGTAACATATAGATATACATGAAAAACGAGAGAAAGATATCAATAAAGAAAGATGCATGCGCACGCGCGGTAATATATAAGGGCATATATGTACAAGTAGAACTAATTTAATACGGAGTAATGTTTTATTCTCAAAATATGACTAATTACATACGTGTAATGAGTCCTATTGAAGTAAGAAAATAATTGGAAATTAATCCTACTTAGCTTTTGCACTTTGTGTATATATGCATGCATGCTTTACTCTCATTTAGCAAATTTTGATTTCTACGTATTATATTTTCTATAACTATTGCTTGGTTCTTTCTAATGAATATACACTACAAAAAAACACGGAATTGGCAGGGATTTGACAGAGATATGTCAAATCCGTACCAAAAACGCTTTGGCACGAAAAATCGGTAAATCTATGCCAAATTCCGTGTCAATCCCATATTTTTTTTGGTAGTGATATAAATGAATTACGCGCGTACCTTAACATGGTTCTTGTAATATTCCTTTGGGACGGGATGAGTATAGAAATCGTCTTCGCTGGTGATTTGTGTTCCATTATTCTTTGCCCATTCCGTATATTGTGCTTTTCCTCCAAAGTCATTGTAGTTGTTTACAAAGCTAAGTATCAAACGCACCCCAAATTTTCTTGCCTCCGAGATCGCAAAATCAAGCCCCTATATACGTACAATGGATTAAGTAGTGATGTACTACAAACTAAATACTAATAAGAAAGGTCAAAGGTAGACCTAGCTATAGCTAGGTAAATAACTATATATACACCTGAAAAACACGTTCGTCGTAGACGGCGGGGGACGTTTGGAGAGCGTTATAATGGGTGCCGTCACTAAAAGCCCAAGTGCGGCAAACGGAGAGACCGGCGGTGGAGGCTTCCCTCAAAACCTCGGTGACTTTGTTCCTCTCCCCGACATCGGCGGCGACATGCATCAACCAGTAGGAGTTGAAACCGTTGAAGAGGTAAGGAGAGCCGTTGAGCTCGAAGTGGCCGCCGTCTACCGTTATCCACCCCTCCTCACCTGATCTCAGCTTCCTCCGGCCACCTTCTGCTGCGGCGGCTGAAAATAAGGCTAAGAACAGGAACAGTACTCCAATACCGTCGTTACTTCTCTTCCTTGAGAGTTTCATGTTTACTAATTTGTTTTGCTGCTAGCTAGAGCCTCGAGGACGTATAATATATATAGATAGATATATTATGAGCATGCATAAATGCTAAAGGACTGCAATTTCTATATTTATAAAATGGAAAGCGTTGAACGTCGACTACTAGCGGCCTAGCTACAGTATTATTTTATCCTTACGTGTGGCAGGTCATAATGCTGTCGCAAATTTCAGATAAACATGCATACATGGGACGATGGGGTTTAATTAGATGCCTCATCTAATTCCTAATTTTTTTTATGTCGGTCTACCTGATTAGGTATAAGCAAATTATTACAAATATTCATTCATAATTATATGTTCCCTGGGTTTGATTTTGACGCCTGAATCAAGCAACTACATGATCAGGTATGACATGTACATGAGTGGGAATATGAGCAAATTTTCAAATCTTTACTTTTTGTTGTTCTTTTGCACATTTATTGGTCTTTAAGGATCCATTGTTGATCCCTTGGATGACCTTGACTTGTTTTAGGCTCAAAATAATCTTAATCTAAACAAATTACGTACAAATATATAAGAAACTAAAGTATTTCACAAAAAATGTGTAATTCCATAACAACAAACATTGAAAACTAGTTAAAAGTACAAACATAAACATTAAAAAATGTACACTATCAAACTCTATTGATTTGATAGTGTATTGATGCGGTTAATAACCTAACATATTGATTGGATAGTATATTAGTTAGATTGCTAAATATATTAGGCTATTAGCGGTTGCTATGAAATTTAATTGTAGAAATAAAATGAATACTTCGTATAAGACATGCATAGAAGTGATACAATCAAATGTTCGATCCACACACAATTACGGCGGACATCTAAAAGGGCAAGAAAGACGAGGCAAATGAAAAGGATTGGATTAGAGAGTATTTAGTAATTGTGTTAAATTAGAAAAACATATTTAACGTACGTATAAAGAATTCATAAATAAATAAATAAATAAATAGTGATGGACACCGGCCAATCCAACTAATAGTCTAATATATTTAGGAATCTGTCTAATACTCCGTATATATTTAGGAATCTACCTAATATATATTTTGGAATACTTTGTATTTTTGCAACTCTTCTACTCCGTATTATAAATATATCTGTCAGGATTCCTATTGGAGTACTCTTTCCAATTATTTCACATGGTATCAAGATCTCTATGTTTGTAGATACAATTTTTTCCTCTTTTTCGGTTACCATAAACCCTAGTACTGCCGCCACATCTACGGTAGTCTCCGATTCTTTGAGGATGAGTGCGGCTGATATGGCGCAGATCACCTTCTCCGCGTCGCTGATCACGGTGCTTGCTTCCAACGTACCGATGGGTTCGCCGCTTGCTGCTGCCTACGTCCGCTCAGCCCACCTTCTTGGCGCCGCTGACCATGGTGCTTGCTTCCAGCGCACCGTTGAGTTCACCGCCCGCTGCTGTAGACCTCCATTCTCTAGCCGAGTCCGGTTCGACCGCTCGCATGGCCGTTCTAGAGCGCTACGCCTGTCCCACTCTCTCTGGCGACCCTGGCATGTTCCCATCGTCTTCTGCTGGGCCAGTTGGCCGTCAGCCGGGATCCTCTCCGCTGCCCACTTCCTTCGTTGCTCTTGTCCAAGGTATCTTAAGGGGTTTCAAATTATGGATCAGATAATATTTGCTGTTTTTCTTGGTCCTAATTTGGTTTCTTGGAAGTCCTATAAACAACCTACTTGCTCATGGAGATCTTATTGTCAAATATGTTCCTTCTAATCTTCCGTTGGCGGATACATTTATTAAGAGTTTTTTTTAGTTTGCAATTTCATTTTTTAAAAGACAACATGCGCGTTGTATCTCCCGAACAGTTTGAAGGGGTGTAATAGCCTAATATATTTAGGAATATTCCTAATATATATTTAGGAATCTACCTAATATATATTTTGGAATACTTTGTATTTTAGCAACTCTTCTATTATAAATATATCTGTCAGGACTCCTATTATAATACTCTTTCCAATTATTTCACACCAACAAGCTAGGAAAATACAAATTCAGAGTGAACGTAACATTTCTTGAATCATCCACATGTATGTATGTATTTTTTTGGGATAAAACGTATGTATGTATGGATGGATGGTACATAGTTGTAGTTATGTTCTGTTGGAAAAACATTGTGATGTGAGATGGGCATACAAGATAAACTCGAAGGATAGGATTTTGTAGATGGGATCACCACCATAAACTTTTTATATATCTACCGGAAGTCGTTTAAAGCAAAGCAAAGCATTTTTGTTTGATTTTACAAAATCTGTTTTGAAAATTCAAATTGACCTCATCACTTTGTATTCTTTTCGATCCTCTCTACCATTCATTTAATAGTCAAACTCACAACGCACGCTTTGACCCATCCCCATAGCCATAAGTGTGACGTCTTTGGTTTTTATCTAAATAACAATCTTACTATATACGGTTATGCACTATCTCTCCGGGCGGATGAGGTGATATTTAGGCAGAAAAAGTAACCCAGTAACCCATGGGCCATTGGGTAAAACAATTAGGACACGTTTACTTTACGAGTTATTAAAGGATGCATATTAAGACTCGCGTTAATAAGCGGCGCATAAATAAGCAATGTTGTAAGATCATGTTTACTTCAAAGGGTTTAAAACACCATTTAACATTAAAATGTCCAAAATAACCCTATATATATAGGTTGGATTAATTGAAATCCTCAACTTCTCTCAGTTGCTTGCTTGCGTAGACTATTAACATGTGTTGTGTTTGTTAATAGTTTTGTGATGGTTTTCGTTTTGAACTCAAGGACAGATTGGTATAGTTCGGTCCATCTTGAATTGGGTATGCTTGGTAAGCTTGGTCCGAAAGATTTGAAACGTGCAGCGACCGTGTGAATATTACAGTCCATGCGTGCTGAACTAATTAAACATCTGGTACGCACGAGTATAAGACTTACCATTATTGGATTGACAGAGTCACTGTGATTCATATCATCTCATATGCCTTGTCGGTCGGGGAGGTGGAGTGCTTGGGCATTTAACATTTTGGATGAATATATATGAGGCGTTGCGTTGGAGCCATTCCATTACGTTGTACGTACGGTAGTACTCCGGATATTATATTGAAGACAATAATAATGAATTTCACAAATTGAAGTGTATGTTTGATCTTGTTGTGAATGTAATTAGCCAGTGCGCGAGTTGAGGCATTAAAAATGGGACGGGCGCCGCAGGAGATGTTTCTGATATTCATATTATTGCTGTTGTTATCACCGGAGAGTGGAGCTGCTGCTGCTGGAGGTGGCCTTAATTACCGTGAAGCCCTCAACAAAGACATCATCTTCTTCGAGGGCCAAAGATCTGGGAACCTCCCCTCTTCAAACTGCATGACGTGGAGGAGGGATTTTGCGCTCTCCGACGGCTCCCTCCAACACGTGGACTTGGTGGGAGGGTACTATGATGCCGGAGACAACGTGAAGTTCAATTTCCCGATGTCGTACACCGCCACCATGCTGTCGTGGAGCGTGCTGGAGTACTGCTACAAAATGAAATCGCTTGCGTAGACTATTAACATGTGTTGTGTTTGTTAATAGTTTTGTGATGGTTTCCGTTTTGAACTCAAGGACAGATTGGTATAGTTCGGTCCATCTTGAATTGAGTATGCTTGGTAAGCTTGGTCTGAAATAGAACTTTGTGGTTCTCAACTATTACTTGTATTATTTGCATGATATACTTGTAATGGTTTGGCAATGATGAGTCTCCTCACAACCTTGTATTGCTACTCTACACCACCTAGGACCAATAAATTGGAGAATAATGGAGGTATTGGTCCTACCAAGACTTCTTTTCCACTTTATTTTTGGCTTGCAACCTATGTTTACTCTTACTTGTTATACTCCTATCATTTACCTTACCTCTCTCTTCTTGTACGCTGCATACTCTTGTTGACCTGTGTTGTTAGCCCTTTGTATTCAGACTTGTGATCGATCTGTCTAGAGCCACCCCTTGTTTGTCAAGGGAAATCCGTGAGCAATAATAGGAAGTCTGCCTATTATATCTCGGTGCTTCTCCTTCGTGAAATGGTAGCGTGTGTAAACCTTTTGAGCGGAGCTTCTCCTCCTTCTTCCTTTGTGCGAGAGGTCCTTAGTGGAGTGTGAGTGAGAGAGTAAACGTGAGAGATGGAGTGGCCTTCCCTAGGGTGGTGTGTGTGAGTCTAGCTAGATAGAGGTTGGAGACCTGAGTCGGAGACGAATCGATTCTCAACGTACACTTTTAGAATAGAAGGTAAACAATGAACAAGGTAAGTAGCTGTAAAAATTGCATCAACCCATCAATTAGCTGGCAGACTTGCCTCAATAAGCATAGTACACCCGTCGTCTATCCCCAAACGCGTAACTTAGTTGGTTAAGCGGTGAGAAAATTGGAGAAATGGCCAAGATTCGAAACTTGCAGTGATCGTGTGAAAGTTACAACTCATGGGCGTTGATTACTGTTGAACTGAACCTTTGATACACAAAGGTATAAGATTTGTCATTATTGGACTGACAGAGTTACCGTGACTTACATTCCCCCATATGCCTTGTCGGTCAGGACGTGGAGTACTCGAGGTTGGTGATTTAACTTTTTTGGAGGAATATATACGAGGCGTCACGTTGAAGCCATTTTATTACGTTGTACGTACGATAGTACTAATATTAAAGACAATTATCATGAATTTCACAAACTAAAGTGTACGTTGGATCTTATTGTGAATGCATTTAGCCAGCGCGCGAGGCATTAAAAATGGGAGAGGCGACGCAGGAGCTGTTTCCTATATTGATATTATTGATGTTGTTATCACCCAGAGAGCGGAGTTGCTGCTGCCGGAGGTGGCCTTAATTACCGTGAAGCCCTCCACAAAACCATCATCTTCTTCGAAGGCCAAAGATCTGGGAACCCCCCTTCTTCAAACCGCATGACATGGAGGAGGGATTCTGCGCTCTCCGACGGTTCCCTCCAACATGTGGACTTGGTGGGAGGGTACTATGATGCTGGAGACAATGTGAAGTTCAATTTCCCGATGGTGTACACCGCCACCATGCTGTCGTGGAGCGTGCTGGAGTACGGCCGGAAAATGAAATCGCTGTCGGAGTTGGAAAATGCTCGGGACGCCATCCGGTGGGCCACCGACTACCTCCTCAAGTGCGTCGTTCATCTCTCCGCCGGGAGGCTCTACGTGGGCGTCGGAGACCCCGGCCAAGACCACCTCTGCTGGGAACACCCTGAGGACATGGACACCCCACGGACCCAGTACTGGGTATAACATCCCACACTCCCGGCTCCGAAGTCGCAACGGAAACCGCTGCCGCAATGGCCACCGCCTCCTTGGTCAAAATAGCACTCGGGTTGTCCAGACATTTCTATCTACTTTGGTTGACACTTTATTGGGATTTTATAATTATTACGATAACTCAACTAAATATTTGGTAGCTCATTCTCATTATTATGGACCCGATAAATAATTTAACTAATCTCGCATTAATTAAATATACCAATTCTGTTGCACGATTTTATTCGCTAGGAAATTCAAATACATATCGAATTTTAAATTCAAGTACATCCAGGTGCGATGTCACATGCATGGCTAGCCGATTGAGTGAGTTTGGAGATTAAGAGTGAGTGCCTTGGAGAATCGGATAAGCAGCACGGCAAAAGTGGAAGAGATGCATGACGTAGTCTGTAATATATATGAACTGCAATTGGAAGTTTTTGCGGTTGAGCAGCTGCACAGTGAGCATGGGCGGACCCAGGAAATTCATCTTGGGGGTTCAAAAATATTTTTTGGGGGAAGAAAATTATTTTTTGAGGGGGCGAAAAATATTTTTCGTACATATATACACTAAAAAAAATTGTTGGGAGGGCGGTAGCCCCTGGGTCTCTATTACGGTCCGCCCCTGACAGTGAGGGAATCAACACTCGAAAAATGTAAGGTTTTGCATCAACCATAGATGTGCATTGAGAATTAAATGGAAAGAGAAACCAAGCACTCCAGCCTAGCTGGTTGCGAGGTTACCGTGCCTAGTGGGAGGTCTCGAGTTCGAATCCCGCTAGGCACACACAAGAGTTTGAAACTCAATGGAGTGAGTTTCAGCCCTGATTACTCCAGGCTCCCTCCAGACCCCCTCCCGCAGACCCCCTGGAGTTTAAAAAAAATAGAAAAAGGACTATGTTAACGTTACATGTGTGTTATTACATAAGCAAAGAAATGATATAAAAATGTTCTTTGTTAAAATATAAAAATGTTCTTTGTTAAAATTTATAGGTTTGACAAATATATACTGGGTATGAATTCCCCAAATAGGAGTAAAAGATAGGCAAAATGCAAAAATAGGAGTATGCCCTATTTTTATAATAGGACAAGTATACCCCTTTCCAAGCCCCAACAACTTTCATTAATAATTAAAACATAAAAGAAATAAGATTAATTCATTATAATAAAATTGTAAAAAAAACAAACATATCAAATAAAATATATTCCGTATTAAATAAAATATAAATTATTAAAAGAAAAAAATAAAAAACTAAAAAAATTAAAATAAAAAACTAAAAAAATTAAAATAAAAAACTAAAAAAATTAAAATAAAAAAATAAAAAATAAAAAAAATATAAAACAAATATGTAGGCGCATGCCGCTGCCTCAACAACCACTCAACACCACCAGCTCCGACTACCGAAAAAAATGCCAACAGTTTCCCGAAATGCCATCATGATGGCATATTTTGAGAAAATTTGGCATTTTCAAAGAGTAAAACTGCCATCTTTATGGCATTTTCTAAGAAAAATGGAAGTTTTTACATAAAATGACATTTTTTCATTGACCGGATGTGACATTGATGGGTGATGACCGAAGGTGCGGGAAAGGCCTGCATAATTTTTTTATATTTTTTAATGCAGTTTATCTATTTTTTATTAATTTTTAAAAATTTTTATTTTTAAAAAAATATTTTTTTAATATTGTTGGGATGAACTTAGATTATTTTTTAAAGGGAAAACTGTCAAATAGGTCCTCGTACTTTTATGAAAAAGTCAATTGAGTCCTTCTACTATTTTTCGAATCAATTAAGTCCATCTAGTCCAAAAAATTAATCAAATTCGTCATTTGAGCGGTTAGCAGCCAGTAATCCCGGTAGTTTCTGATGTGGAGGCCCACGTTGCAATATTTTTAGTTTTATCATTTCTTTTCCTTTTTTGTTTTCTCTTTCTTTCTCTCTCAGACCACCTCTTCTTCTTCCCTAATCTTCTATGTGTTTTATCGTTCTTTCTTTTTTATTCCTTTCTTACTTGCTCTGTATTTTCTTTGTTCTATTACTTTCTTATCGCCACTGTGGACTACTCGTCGGCCGTACTTCTCCAATCTGGATCTTCCATAGCCAAAGCTTGGCCAGCCGCCGCCAAGCGATGTCCGTTGTCTCCCACAATTCCCCAACCGCCGTCACCCGCAACTCAAATTGTTCCCAACGGATGCCGCGTGCCACCATCTCCCATGTGTTCTTCAACCGCTGCCGGACGCCCACCTCCCGTCGGCCACAACTTCTCAACCGCCGACACCCATCCAAGAAAGAGAGTTGAAAGAATTGAAGAAAAGAAAGAAAAAGAAATTGGAAAATAAAGAAATTGGGGTGAGGGAGAAAACCATGAGGAGAAGGATAGTGAAGGGAAGAAGAAAGAAAGAAAACAAGAGGGGGGAGAAAGGTACTGGTACGACACTGGGAAGAAGAGGTCTGTAAGGAAGAAGATGGCTCACCGTTCAGCAGAGAAAGAAGCAAAGAAATAAAAAAACGGAATAGAGGTAATTGCCACGTGGGCCTCCAGATCATCATGTATATGGGCTACCGGTTGCTTACCGGTGAAATGGCGGTTTTGGTTGATTTTTTGAACTTGGTGGACTTGATTGATTCGAAAAATAGTAGAAGGACTTAATTGACTTTTTCACGAAAGTACGAGGACCTATTTGACAGTTTTCCCTTTTTTAAATTAAAAGGCTGCATAAAGGTATCGTTTCCAGTAAATAAACTCAGATTTTTATTTTATTTTAATAGGATCAAATAAGTCATATTTTAGAATTAATTAGGTTAGGGATATTAAGGGTACAAAATTAATGTTTACTCCTATTGAAGAAAGTTTTAACTTTTACTCCTATTTGTGCAATTATGCTTATATTTTACTCCTATATCAGGCAATTTCTCTAATTGAGATAAAATTCATCATTGAAAAATGATAGATAAGTAATCGATGTATTGTTACTAATACTCCTATAATACCACCATTACTACGTACCCGTAGTAAAATACGGAGTGTGCTGGGTAACATACTAACATGCAAATCAACAATGGTGCTCTTAATGTTAAAATCAACATGTAAATCAACAATGGATTGAAGTTTGAAGTTTTCGATTCTTGGTGCATGTGATCTGACCTCCAGACTCATACATAACTCCTTCACAAGTCAATGAATATATGGAGAAGTAGCTAGCCAACCTAAAAGTACGGTAAAGGCGAATTGAAATAAAGAAAGAAGATTATGGTCTACGCCCCATTAGATACGCAATGTAGTAGCGAGCTAGTCTCCATCAAGACTTATCTATATATATATGTTTAGTTAGTTGACCACAATTAAAAGAGATATTTGTTCGTCAAAAAGGCCACCCCTAATTTGCGTGATTTGTGTTTGAATTTTCGTACACTTGTCTTCTATCCCCGCACGCAAAAATTAGTTGGTTCAGTGGTGAAAAAAATGGAGGAATAACCAAGATTTGAAACATGCAGCGACCGTGTGAAGGTTACAGTCCATGCGTGTTGCACTAATTAAACCTCTAGTACGCACGAGTATAAGACTTACCATTATTGGATTAACAAAGTCATTGTGATTTAGATCATCTCATATGCCTTGTCGGTCGGGACGTGGAGTGCTTGGGCATTTAACATTTGGGAGGAATATATATGAGGCATTGCGTTGGAGCCATTCCATTACGTTGTACATACGATAGTACTAATTAATATTGAAGACAGTTGTCATGAATTTCACAAATTGAAGTGTACGTTTGATCTTGTTGTGAATGTAATTGGCCAGCGTGCGAGGCATTAAAAATGGGACGGGCGCCGCAGGAGATGTTTCTGATATTCATATTATTGCTGTTGTTATCACTGCTGGAGAGCGGAGCTGCTGCTGGTGGAGGTGGCCTTAATTACCGTGAAGCCCTCAACAAAGCCATCATCTTCTTTGAGGGCCAAAGATCTGGGAACCTCCCTTCTTCAAACCGCATGACGTGGAGGAGGGATTCTGCTCTCTCCGACGGTTCCCTCCAACATGAGGACTTGGAGGGAGGGACTATGATGCCGGAGACAATATGAAGTTAAATTTCCCGATGGCGTACACCGCCACCATGCTTTCGTGGAGCGTGCTGGAGTACGGCCGGAAAATGAATTCGCTGTCGGAGTTGGAAAATGCTCGGGACGCCATCCGGTGGGCCACCGACTACCTCCTCAAGTGCGTCGTTCATCTCTCCGCCGGGAGGCTCTACATGGGCGTCGGAGACCCCGGCCAAGACCACCTCTGCTGGGAACGCCCTGAGGACATGGACACCCCACGGACCCAGTACTGGGTATAACATCCCACACTCCTGGCTCCGAAGTCACAGCGGAAACCGCTGCTGCAATGGCCGCCGCCTCCTTGGTCAAAATAGCACTCGGGTTGTCCAAACATTTCTATCAACTTTGGTTGACACTTTATTGGGCTTTTATAATTATTACGATAACTCGACTAAATATTTGGTAGCTCATTCTCATTATTATGGACCCGATAAATAATTTAATTAATCTTGCATTAATTAAATATACCAATTCTGTTACACGATTTTATTTGCTATGAAATTCAAATACATATCGAATTTCAAATTCAAGTACATCCGGGTGCGATGTCACATGCATGGCTAGCCGATTGAGTGAGTTTGGAGATTAAGAGTGAGTGCCTTGGAGAATCGGATGAGCAGCACGGCAAAAGTGGAAGAGATGCATGGCGTAGTCTGTAATATATGAACTGTAATTGGAAGTTTTTGCGGTTGAGCAACTGCACAACGAGCATGGGCGGACCCAGGAAATTCATCTTGGGGGATCAAAAATATTTTTTGGGGGGCGAAAATTATTTTTTGAGGGGGCGAAAAATATTTCTCGTACATATATACACTTAAAATAATTGTTGTGAGGGCGGTAGCCCCTGGGTCTCTACTACGGTCTACCCCTGACAGTGAGGGAATCAACACTCGAAAAATGTAAGGTTTTGCATAAACCATAGATGTGCATTGAGAATTAAATCGAAAATGGACTATATATGTTAACGTTACATGTGTGTTATTATATAAGCAAAGAAATGATATAAAAATGTTCTATGCTAAAATATAAAAATGTTCTTTGTTAAAATTTATAGGTTTGGCAAATATATACTGGGTATGAATTGCCCAAATAGGAGTAAAAGATAGGCAAAATGCAAAAATAGGAGTACCATGTTTTGAATAGGAGTAACTTTAGTGTTAGGACAAGTATACCCCTACCCAATAGGGGTGGGTTCGTAGAACCGAAAACCGAAAACCGAATCGAATCAAATCAAACCGCGACCAAATAAACCGGACCGATGAAAAACCGAAACCGAACATAAGAAACCGAACCGAACCGAACATGTTTGGTTTCGATTTCGGTTTTGACTCCTCAAAACCGAACCGAACCGAAAAAACCGAAATATTTAAAAATATAAAAAAATCATTTATTTTATATGGAGTATATGGCCGGTCATGTGGTCAACGCTCAAGACCGAAAGCGTAAGAGGCTTTTTACGAGTCCAGTACTTTATAATCTTTTAACCTAAAATGTAAGAGGCTTAGCTCTCGAAAAAAGGAGCCGCCGTCGAAGACATGGTAGATCGATTCAAGATACAACAACAACAACATCCAAGCCTTAGTCTCAAATGAAATTGGGGTCGGCTAACATGAATCGATACATGATATCACCACCAAAAGAAAAAGAAAGAAAATGAAGATTAAAAAATAAGCTATTATAAAAAAGATAATATAAAACGGAATGAATATACATAAAAATGATAAAATTTAAAGGGTAAAAATAATGTTTATATATATAAGGATAAAAGAATAAAAAACACGAAAAAAGACGAGGGAAAATAATAATAATAATAATAATAATAATAATAATAATAATAATAATAATAATAATAATAATAATAATAATAATAATAATAATAATAATAATAATAATAATAATAATAATAATAATAATAATAATAATAATAATAATAATAATAATAATAATAATAATAATAATAATAATAATAATAATAATAATAATAATAATAATAATAATAATAATAATAATAATAATAATAATAATAATAATAATAATAATAATAATAATAATAATAATAATAATAATAATAATAATAATAATAATAATAATAATAATAATAATAATAATAATAATAATAATAATAATAATAATAATAATAATAATAATAATAATAATAATAATAATAATAATAATAATAATAATAATAATAATAATAATAATACGAGATCACTCCTCCACACGAATACTCGCCCTCCACTTTGCTCTCTCGATTCAAAATGTGAAGCAAAAATGAGCGGATCTCACTTTGGAACTGCATTTTATTTTGATTTCAGTTGGGACTGTATTTTATTTTGTTGCACTATATCCAAGTTTACTACGCTTAACTTTTAAGTGTCATGCACTAATGTTTAGTGCACTTTATTTAAATTGTAAGGCTGGAATTGACTTTCTTCAGTACTTTGTGTTTTATTTTCCTGCACTTTGGTTATTTTGCACAATTGCACGTCATTTCTTTTTTCAGAAAGTACGTGTCTTTTGGTTTAAAACCGAAAAAACCGAAATCGAACCGAACAAAACCGAACCGAATCAACCGTGGTTGGACAAAAAATATGAACAAACCGAACCGAACCGAACCGAAGTTTTTAGTTTGATTCTACATTTGGTTTTAGGTCAAAACCGAACCGCATAAACCGAACCCACCCCTACTACCCAAGCCCCAACAACTTTCATTAATAATTAAAACATAAAAGAAATATGATTAATTAATTATAATAAAATTGTAAAAAAACAAAAAAAAACATATAAAATAAAATATATTCCGTATTAAATAAAATATAAAATTATTAAAATAAAAAAATAAAAATAAAAAACTAAAAAAATAAAATAAAAAAAATAAAAAATGAAAAAACTATAAAACAAATATGTAGGCGCCTGCCGCTGCCTCAACAACCACCCAACACCACCAGCTTCGACTACCGAAAAAATGCCAACATTTTCCCGAAATGTCATCATGATGGCATATTTTGAGAAAATTTGGCATTTTCAAAGAGTAAAACAGCCATCTTTATGGCATTTTCAAAGAAAAATGGCAGTTTTTACATAAAAGGGCATTTTTCCATTGATCAGATGTGACATTGATGGGTGATGACTGAAGCTGCGGGAAAGGCCTGCATAATTTTTTTTATATTTTTAATGCAGTTTATCTATTTTTTATTTATTTATAACTTTTTAAAAAAAATAATTTTTTTAATATTGTTGGGATGAATTTAGATTATTTTTTAAATTAAAAGGCTGCATAAAGGTATTGTTTCCAGTAAATGAACTCAGATTTTTATTTTATTTTAATAGGATCAAATAAGCCATATTTTAGAATGAACTAGGTTAGGGATATTAAGGGTACAAAATTAATGTTTACTCCTATTGAAGAAAATTTTAAGTTTTACTTCTATTTGTGCAATTATGCTTATGAATACTCCTATATTAGGCAATTTCTCTAATTAAAATTCATCATTGAAAAATGATAGATAAGTAATCGATGTATTGTTACTAATACTCCGTATAATACTACCATTACTACGTACCCGTAGTAAAAATACGGAGTGTGCTGGGTAACATACTAACATGCAAATCAACAATGGTGTTGTTAATGTTAAAATCAACAGGTAAATCAACAATGGATTGAAGTTTGAAGTTTTCGATTCTTGGTGCATGTGATCTGACCTCCAGACTCATACATAACTCCTTCACAAGTCAATGAATATATGGAGAAGTAGCTAGCCAGCCTAAAAGTACGGTAAAGCCGAATTGAAATAAAGAAAGAAGATTATGGTCTACGCCCCATTAGATACGCAGTGTAGTAGCCAGCTAGACTCCATCAAGACTTATATATATATATATATATATATATATATATATATATATTTAGTTAGTTGACCACAATTAAAAGAGAGATCCGTTCGTCAAAAAGGTCACCCCTAATTTGCGTGATTTGTGTTTGAATTTTCGTACACCTGTCTTCTATCCCCGCACACAAAACTTAGTTGGTTCAGTGGTGAAAACATTGGAGGAATAACCAAGATTTGAAACATGCAGCGATCGTGCGAAGGTTACGGTCCATGCGTGTTGAACTAATTAAACTTCTAGTGCGCACGAGTATAAGACTTATCATTATTGGATTAACAGAGTCACTGTTATTTACATCATCTCATATGCCTTGTCGGTCGGGACGTGGAGTGCTTGGGCATTTAACATTTGGGAGGAATATATATGAGGCGTTGCGTTGGAGCCATTCCATTACGTTGTACGTACGATAGTACTAATTAATATTGAAGACAATTGTCATGAATTTCACAAATTGAAGTGTACGTTTGATCTTGTTGTGAATGTAATTGGCCAGCGCGCGAGGCATTAAAAATGGGGCGGGCGCCGCAGGAGATGTTTCCAATATTCATATTATTGTTGTTGTTATCACTGCTGGAGAGTGGAGCTGCTGCTGCCGGAGGTGGCCTTGATTACCATGAAGCCCTCAACAAAGCCATCATCTTCTTCGAGGGCCAAAGATCCGGGAACCTCCCCTCTTCAAACCGCGTGACGTGGAGGAGGGATTCTGCACTCTCCGACGGTTCCTTCCAACATGTGGACTTGGTGGGAGGGTACTATGATGCCGGAGACAACGTGAAGTTCAATTTCCCGATGTCGTACACCGCCACCATGTTGTCGTGGAGCGTGCTGGAGTACGGCCGAAAAATGAAATCGCTGTCGGAGTTGGAAAATGCTCGGGACGCCATCCGGTGGGCCACCGACTACCTCCTCAAGTGCGCCGTTCATCTCTCCGCCGGGAGGCTCTACGTGGGCGTCGGAGACCCCGGCCAAGACCACCTCTGCTGGGAACGCCCCGAGGACATGGACACCCCACGGACCCCCTACTGGGTCACATCCCACACTCCCGGCTCCGAAGTCGCGGCGGAAACCGCTGCCGCAATGGCCGCCGCATCCTTGGTTTTCCGGCGATCCGATCCCGCGTATTCTTCAAGGCTCCTCAAAACTGCAAAGCAAGTGTTTCGTTTTGCAAATTCGTATCGGGGCTCCTACGGAGATTCACTCCAATCTGCTGTCTGCCCTTACTATTGCTCCTATTCCGGATATCAGGTCACCGCCCTATCCATCTGTTACTCCCCATTTATTTACTCACAAATCACAATATACGATAGTACTATCGTAGGTAATACTCCGTATCAATGATTCGGACACCTGCCCCCAAGACAATTCAATTCATTCATGCACCCGACTTATTATTTCATCATTTATTAAAATTTAAATTGTTTAAATGCAATACTCGTACAAAATGATCTCATATATTACTTCCGTCCCGAATTTATTTGCAAATTTGACTTTTCTTGTATTGGTCAAACAGTTTCATTTATTCTCTTAATTAGGATGCTAATTTTTAATTATATTTTAATTTGGAGTTTACAACTTTGAAGGGATTTTAATGTAGTTTCTGAATATATAAATTTTAATTATCAAGAATTGAATTTATTATTGATAGCGAGCATTGACTTTTATTATTGGTTAACCAAAAATGTTAACTCTGCAAAACAATTTGGCATGCAGGGAGTATCTACCAAAAATTTATTTCTTTTAATTCCCTTTGTCTTTCTTCGGGAACAAAATTAAAGACTCTTATTTTAGGATAATAATTTTAGGATACTTTCACTCTCTTTTAATCTTCTTCGCTTTTATTATTGGGCTCATTTATTTCTGCATATATATTGGTCACTTTGATTTCTACATATATTTCTGCACAGTGATGAATGACAATGTACGAAGTATATAATTCTTAAATAAATGTGTACTTACACTTTAATATTAATGTGTTAATAAATTATTTTTATAAATTAAACTGTATGTGCTTCTTTGTAATGAAGCAGCAATCAGTCCATGCAATTTTGGACGCGATTTTCACTATGGATCATCCGGAAACAGTCTCTCTACGCTTTAGTACAGGGGTAAGACTGCGTACATCCGACTCCCCCTTACCCCACCGTAGGTGGGAGCCTTTGCAGCACTGGGGTAAATGAAAAAAAAAATTGTTAAATTTTGTCATCGTAAATTTTCAAAAACTGATTATTTTTTATTTTTTTTACTCATGTAGAATAATACTATGTATATATTAATGGTCAAAGTTGTGAATTGACAAACGTAAAATTTGAATGTTGCACATATTTAAGAACAAAAGATATATATAGCTACCGGGCAATATGTATATAAAATTTGTACTTCAATTCGATCTGTGTCACCATGCATTTTACTACGACTATTACATTACCGTAGAATTACTTGAATGTATTAGGATGTTTTCTTTTGGACTGAAATTTTCCGGTCTGGTCTGAATTGGTCTGGTCTGGTCTTATAAACGTCTAGTCTTTGTGTATTTTATAATTATGGAAGTCTGGTTTGATCTGGTCTGGGACTGAAAACAGTCCAAAAGAAAACATCCTTAAGTAAGTTGTTTCATACTTAACAAGTTAAATGTTAAAGTATTGTAGAATTTGTCATTTAACAAAGAGTAACTTAATTGATGACTTTTGTTATAAAAAAAAAACTTAATTGATGACTGAACAAATTGACATACATAGAGAAAAATAGTCCAAAAGGAACATGGGAATAATGATGAATTAGTTGAATCACACAAGAGAGGGTGAATTGTGTGTATTTCTCACAAATTGACAACTATGACACTTTTTCGCCAAGTTCTAGTGTGGGACAAGGGAAAACACAAATTAAAGGGCACTAGAATTTAACGAGAAATAATTCTTTCGCTCGACATGGATTAAAAACCCTTGACCCCTCAGGGGAATACTCTTCACTAAAAGCTTTTAAAGAAGTTACAAGATAAACAATCTTAGTTTACCCTTGAGCCACCCCAACGCAAACCTCTCTAGGTTGAGTTCTCACTCTCTTACCTTGTGGGTAAGGAGTCTCTCAGCTTTACAACAAAGCTCTTACTTCACACCCCAACCCTCGGAGGAAAGGATTCTCAAATGTTCTTCTTCTAACAACATTATAATTGTGAATGAGGGTTGGTAGCCTTGATTTATGTCAATACATTATGTGCATGACATGTTGTACATTGTGTTTAGAAAATGGAACCTCACTATTTAATAGGACTTCTTTACCCTTACGGCCTTACCTCTCCTAATTTATTCCGTTAATCAGCTTTCCAAAACTTTTAACCGTAATGCCTCTTGCCCTCTTAAATCCTAGCACTTAAAAGAGTATATTTTACGTAGTACAAAACAACCTATTTGAAGAAGAAAAAAAAACTTCAATCATGATGTATGAGACATCCTCCTGAACCCCCTCATTTTGGGTTTGATACTTGAAGAAAAATATTGGGAAGAGGAAGATCACCTAGGTCAATTTTGATGACAATTTACTTAATTAAATATTTTATATTTTAGAGTTATATATATATATATATATATATATATATATATGGTGCAATTCCAATGAGAAAAATGTTTTTTAACGTGCACATGATTTAACCTAATGTGATACAGAATAGAGGTCATCAGATGCACATTTTGACTTTGCTCAAACCAAGCTAATATAAATAATTGCAGTGACATTTTGGTAAATATTAATTATACGATAGTACTTAACACGAAAAAGTGCATTGGGCGAGCCTCATTGTGCATCTCAGGTTAAGCATTGTTCTTATTTGATCATATATATATATATATATACATACATATGTATATATATATATACATACATACATATATATATATATATATTGGGTAAGTTCTAATACAAAGAGATCTTCCCATGAAAAGTGAGAAGTGATCTAAACTCTTGATCACTTAAAATGAACACAATAGATCAAAACTCGTGTGAAAGATGCTAAACCTAAATGTGCAATACACAATAGTAAAAGTGCATATGCGATATGTATAAGTGTACATTAGTCCTGTTAAAAAATATCACAAAATGATTTCTATACGTGTTGAATTATTTTGAAAAGTGATGCACTTGTGTGTTAGTCAAATAGTACACTTTATTTTTTGAAAAAAATCATTGGATTTACACATTTGCCACCGCGTTTTGCACTTAAAAGTTGATCTGATCCACCTATTTCTCATTCTAATGGCCAAGCTAAGAGGACTGATCGTATCAGGCTTGCCTGACGGCGGTAAAAAAAAAAGAATCTCTTAGCTTGTAGAATATTGGTAGTTGAAAAAGTTTTTCTAAACTTCAAAATTTATAACACCTACACATCAACCAGCTCAATCTGTACATAATTAAAGATGTTTGATAAAGCTATTGTCACAATTTATAATAAAAATCTATTGTCACTACAACTATCAGAAAAATATAATCAACTAATAGGATTAGACAGTTTTAGAAATATGGGCACATGCATCGTCCATACAATAGCTGGTGGACTAAAAATATAATTGATTCAATTATTTACAAAAAAAAGTAGGACAATTTCGTAAACTATTTAAAAAAATCTTGTAACAGTCTCACATGTATATAATAGATTAATAGTTGTTTAAAAAAACTATTTTGACATTAGGCAAAAGCTCTCGCGCCTTGCGCGATCATACGCTAGTAACCTCAATACAATTGAATTACAAGGGATAAAACTGTCGGCAGTACTCAATCTTCTATGGCATCCTTGTATATGACTTTCCTTCTATGAGTATTTTCTTCTCGATTCAAGCACACATATCTTCATGCACGAGCTTGGTCATTTATATGGATGTCTAGGAGCTGTCAAGGCTTTATGACATTTAAAAGCTTTCCTTTGAAGATGTATTCTTTTCTTTGAGCTCGATTCTCATAAATGTGCTAGATCATGACTTGATGTGCTCTCCTTAATGTGCTCGGATCTCCTTATATATTTTTTAGAGAAAAGGTGCAAATAAGGCCACGTACTAACAAAAAAAGGTCAAATAAGGCCTTATTTAAGAGGTTATGTCCGGTCGTCGCCATTTGGGGTAGTTCCCGGTGGAATTTTTTGATGAAATTTTTTTAGCATCTTATTCAGTAAGTCTAGTTTACGTATACCAAATTTCAGCTAAAACTTCAATCGGGAAGGCATTCAAATGAATTCTTGAAGATAACTGAGCTTTTAACTGCGCAGTTATCTTCAAGAATACATTTGAATGCCTTCCCGATTGAAGTTTTAGCTGAAATTTGGTATGAGTAAACTAGACTTACTGAATAAGATGCTAAAAAATATTCATCAAAAAATTCTACCGGGAACCACCCCAAATGGCGACGACCGTACAGAGCCTCTTAAATAAGGCCTTATTTGATCTTTTTTGGTTAGTACATGGCCTTATTTGCCCCTTTTCCCTATTTTTTATCCTCTTTGTATAAAAATGATTTGAAAAATATTTCCTTATAGTATTAAAAAATATATTATTTTTGTTTGTTTGAAGGAAATCGTTTTTCTTAAGAAAACATTCCGTGTGAGAGGAGATGAATGAGAATCTAATTTGAATTTTGAATAACTCCTTTTATTTTGGAAACTTGCTTAGTGGAAAGATCTCTTATTTAATGTCTTTAATTAAATAGATTTCCTTTATAGAAAAGTAAGTCAAATTAATCAATCTTGGATTCACACGACTTAGATCTTTTCTAGGACCAGTTTTGCAGCTTGTTCGAGAGCACGGCTTAAATCTTTTCTTGCAATTACTTATAAACCAAAAATAACACTAGTTGTTTGTCATCAACAAAACAATACATTCCAACAAATAATACTCCGTATATAACTTACTCAAATAGGACAAGAGATTATGAGACAAAAAATTTGGTGGACCCCATCTACGTGAATGATATGGGTAGGGATGTCAAAAAAAACCGACCCGCAATGACCCGCCTTGGCCCGAGACATTTGGGGCGGGTCCGCCCCGCCCCGTCTTGCAAATGGGGCGGGTCCGCCCCACCTATACAATGGGGCGGGTCCGAGTATTAGAATTGACCCGTTCCGCCCCGACCCGACCCGCTCAATATATAAATATACATACTTTTTCTTAACTTATACTACAAATATACTTAAACATACATATGTGTGTATACAATAAATCATAAATTCTTTGATCTTATAGTATATGAATATATATTAGAATGAGATGCACGACGGATTATCAATGTCTTCTTTATATATATAGAATTTTAATACATTTATTCAATTATTAATATAACTAATTAGATTAACTATTCAAGTTTGAGTAATTTTTTCTTAATTTTTGAAATTTTTAGCGTATCATGAAGTTGATTTAATATGTTGAGTTTTAATTATCATTTAGAGATAAACATTATGTAGATTCAATTGGTAACAACTTCCTACAAATAAAAATAAAAACTAGCTAATTAGGTAGCGGCGGGCCAGACCCGCCCCGCATGGGGCGGGTCATGGGTCAACAAGTTTGGACCCGTGCAGGTCACGGGGCGGGGCGGACCCGCCCCGCCAAGTCACGGGGCGGGTCCGGGTCTTGCAATACCCGCCCCGCCCCGACCCGACCCATTGTCATGCCTAGATACGGGACTGAAATGCATGGGAATAATATAAGAAGTACGTAGTAATTAATTGAGTCCGTACTTTATTTTTTATAGAGAAAACATAGTTTGTTTATTTATTTTTCAACTATTTCGCAACAAGCTCAACCATTTAGCAAGCAAACCATATACGTAGTATATTGATTTATTTTTAATATAAAGGATCGGCTTTTATATTAAAATCGAGAAAGATACAAGATAATATCCAGACAGTGATGACAGATCCGATTGTGAGCCCTGTGAATAGACTTAGAATCAGTCACCTCATACAAAGCAACCTGATTCGCTAGACACAAAACGGGCAATTTAAAGTCTAAAACAATCGGAATTGAAATACTATCTATCAAACGTACACTAGAAGTCCAAATTTCTGAATCAAAACCAACTAAATCTAAAATAAAACAAGTACTACAAATGGAAAAATGGAATTGAAATAAGGTCTTTCCACAAAACTCTTCATGCCATGGTGGTGGTTGTAGAGGAGGACGAACTCTACCAATGTCAACACACTCTAAAAGAAAGCAGACAGAAGCTCCTGACCAGATGAAGCTAGCCGAGACACCAACAAAACTCTATTCTTAAAGATTCCCACTTTCATCTTACTTTTCAATATAATCTTTAATGGCTCAAATAAAAAATTAAAAAAGTGGAATAAACTCAGTCTTTTTTTAGGAGAAAACTCCCCACATTGAGAGAGACAAACCACCCCGGAGCACCAATGTCCGGAAAAGGACCGCCATAGAACAAAATCAACACTACCATAAAAGAAGAATAATCCAATTGGATCATACCTCTACCAAGAATTTGTAAGCCGGAATCCTACGCGCATAGCCCAGAACATGTCTGATCCTCTTCATCCTTCATAGTTGAATTCAGAAGAAAGAAAGGTTGGTCCGCCGCATGCCATTGACCACCGTATAGTCCACGTCTTTTGTTTATAAAAACGCAAGACATTACATTAATCTATCATTCTCACTTTGTTCCCATATATATTGATTCTAAAGTGAAATCCCTATATATCAAAGAAGACGTGAAAATAATACAATTACTATACATTTGTTACCATTCACAATTGCTATATATTGTATGTAGTAACATATTCGTTGGTGCTTAATTAATTTGCAGGACGAATTATTATGGGGAGCAGCATGGCTGCTCAGAGCAACAAATGATCTCAGATATCTCAAATTCATAAAGAAAATTAAAGTCAATGGATTGCCAGACCTATTTAGCTGGGACAATAAGTATGCAGGGGCGTATGTTCTTCTCTCAAAGGTGAGTAAGATTGAAGAAAGGTGACAACTCCGGTACCTTTTCAAAAAATGGGGTACCATACCTACCATTCATTTGATTGGACCACATCACTTTATCATTTTTAATTTAGATTTAAATAATTCAACTGCAACATTCTCATTGGTTCATGTGGACAAAGGTATGGTACCTTATGAGTATCATAGAATCTACCTTGAAGAAAATAACATGTAAATGTACGTATGCAAATGAGATAGATGAACCTATATTTTTTACTCTTTCCATTTCAAAATGTTTTCTTCGTGTTTCTTGTTTTATAAGGCCAAAACATTTTTCATTTCATACACCCAAAATGTGTGGAATCGCTCACCTCAGGCGCCCCACACCTTCTTCCGACAGAATGATGGAGGGATAAATTCTGGTACGATATCAAATAGTTTCTGAGTGAGGTGATTCAGGGTTTAGTGCACACTGTTAGGAATTTAACTCACAAACACGAAGAACAATTAAAGAACACACGAAATTTGGTAACCCAGTTCGCCACAGAGGACTACGTCTGGGGGCGCTACCAAGCCAGGAATGTTATTAATATTTTCTGGATGCAGATTACAAGAGAGGAGAGTGCTATTTATAGAAATGCAGTGTCTTGTTCCCAAAGCAACATAACCCCTAATTAAATTAGGAGGTGTTTCTAAAAATAAATTAAGAAACGTGTTTCCAAGAATAAATTAAAAAACTGTCTCTGACACCTTACAATCTCCCAAGGAGCCACCACATTAGATGGAACTCCCATGCTACTACGGTTTGGGATTGAAAATGATCGAGTCCTTAACCCAATTGTCTCACTCAGCAACTATTGAGCTAAATGTGCGGGTACATTTTTCATTTCATCTTAACACAAAGGTTATTAGTTGTATGATTCATGTTAATTCTTCGATTTTGAAACCAACATCAACCACACACTGATTCTTCATAAAAAGCAATGCAAAAGACAAACATAAAGAGCGAATCTTTGACAAAGAGAGAGTACTTATGTTTTTCATTTTAATACATGCTTTTAGTTTTTCAACAAAATTAGCTAAAATTCAATAATATATATATATATATATATATATATGAAAATGTTTCTTTAATTAAGCACATATATAATTGGTACAAACGAGTACGTAACTTAGTTAGTATTATATGATTTTAGAATAATGCGGTATGTATGTACAATATGCTCTGATTTGAAAAAATAGAACTGCATCTTCAGAATATAATATGAATATGGGTAGGTGCACTTTTTAAACATCTTGAACTAAGCATTGAATATGTATGCATATATAGGTCTACAAATGAATCCAAAATTAGGACTTTCATTAATGAAAATGTGTGGTAAAACTGTAAATACTTTAAAACTTTAAAACTGTAAATACTTTAAAACTTTTAAACATCTTGAACTAAGCATTGAATATGTATGCATATATAGGTCTACAAATGAATCCAAAATTAGGACTTTCATCTAGTTTGCATAAAAGTTTGGTGATGAGTGTATAAGTTCTATAATTAATCAAGTTTCTATGTTACGGACTTTTTATATTGTATTGATTGCTATAGTACCCATAAATAACGAAGGTACAATATCTATATATCATGTGTTTCATTGATCCACATCAGTGTTTCATCATTTATTTATATTTAAATTATTCAATTTCAAAATTTTAATTAATTCAGGTGTACACGATATGAGATTTTGAAGTATCATATAATTTGTTGTTTTATTTTGGAACCTAGCATGCACTCTTGTAATGAACTACTCCGTAATATACTTTTTGTATATACTAATTCACCCTTATCCACGCATATTTTACAGAAAAAAATGTAATGGCAAAAATGACACCCTGTTTCGTACTTCAAAGATGATCTCATCCATATGTTTTACAACAATAATCATATTGTGTACTATGGTGTAAGAAAACATCTCTCTGCGAGATGAATATACAAACAAATGTTTAATTTGATGGTCACATAGGTTTTCTGTAGTATATTTTACTTGTATTTGTCTTCTTTAAATTTTACCATATATGTGTATTATGTTACCTTTTGACTTTAGTCACCTGGGGCATATTGACATAACGTTCTTTCATCTTTATCCTTGTATTTTTTTCCATCTACCAGTGGGCTGTGGTGAAAAAAGATGGAAGGTTTAATGCATACAAAGAGGGAGCAGAGCATTTCATGTGCGCCGTTCTCCCCAAACACCTTTCCCCTGCCTCTACAACCACATACACACCAGGTAAGTCAATTGCACATTTGTACCTTTACCTTTAAAAAAACATTAATTAGAACGGCTGGTGAGTTTGGATGAATTTAGATTTAGTGGAATTGTAAAAATTAAATCAACGTGGGGTGAACATTTGTGCAAATACTACGTATAAAATGATGTTAATCAACTCTTTAGATCTTCTTGTGCAACCTAATCTAACTCAAATTCCTAAATCCGCCCTTCTCGGTGATGTTATGAGTGAATCGAGATTTCTCAAAGAGTTTAGTTATTGTCTTCAAAACACTTTTTAAATGAGACGAATAATATCGATTGAAAAATGGCAAAATCTAGATCACCCTAATTACAACAATAAATTATCAATGATCCCGGTAACTACTTTACTTCTAGCGAAACCGTTACAGATTATTAATTTTTTTATGAAGACAAACAATAATACTTCACCCATAATATAATAGAGATTATTAATTACAACTTCGTGATAATGATATACAATGCAGGTGGTCTTATGTACAAGTTGCCTGAATACAATATGCAATATGTGACATCCATCACATTCTTGATGACCACCTATGCCAAGTACATTGCATCAACAAAGACGCTATTTTATTGTGGAGACAACTCTATTACTCGTCATACTCTACGCAGCCAAGCAAAAACACAGGTTTTTGTTTAACTACCCAACTTTTTAACGTTGTTAATCTTATTTATCTTTCGCACAAATGAACTCGTCGAATCAAACCAGAGAGAGTTAATTGTGTGTAAAAATAGTGACAGTTTTCATACAATTTTAGTGTTGGGTATAGGTCTTGTTTGACAGTTGATTGATAATAGCTGATTGTGTCAGCTGTTTTAATTTAGTTGACTGACTATGTTAGCTTGTTGTCAGTAATGCTTGGTAAATTAGTTGTTCAAAAATACTGTATGAGGGTAAAAAAACATATAAGGACATTAGTATATTTTAGCTATTATTTATAAAAAACAATATTTCCTATACTTACAAAGTATAAATCATTCATTTTTTATGAATTTTCAAAATGGATAAATAAAACTACATGCAAAATAAAAAGATAAAAGAAATATTTTAATTTAATTTGAATAACATGAATTCGCAATGAAAAAAGTGACTTTTTCTTTTCCTTTTCCCCAATTGTAGCAGCAATGAAGTCGAATATAATATAAGAACTAGGTGATATATATTATGCAGTTAAAAATAGATTACATTTAGATGAATTAATTCCAAATAGAAAAATAATAGGAAAAGATATACTACCAAATGCCTTCGTTTGTACTTTTTGAAGAAGAATTGTCAGAGTATGAGGCTGGATGTGTTATGTATAGTTTTTTAAGCACAGAGAGAAGAGAAGATGAGTTGTGTATAGCATTGTTTCATTCGTTCTTTTAGGAAGAAAGTAGGCATGAGACGATGTCATAAGAAATTCTAACCGCCAAAACCAATGTTCTAAAAGGCACTAGCGTTAGTCGGGCGGGCGCCAGTCCAGCGCCTAGACGGCTAGGCGGGCACCTAGGCGGTGACTAATCAGAGACATAGAAATTATAGTTTATTGATATTTTTGCATAAACATGATTAGTAATGTTGTGTTGGTGTGTATATAAAAAATTTACACACACATACACATTAGCATGCATGAATAGTAGAGTTGTCACATTAAATAATATATTATACCTACTCACTTAACTTCATTATGTAATAAATATTATTAAATAATAATAATAACACTTAAGATTATATAATACCTACCCACACTTATAGTTTTTATCTTAGTTTTCTTCATATGTATTGTTAAAGTTAAAAGTGCATATATCTCGTAGAATACTAAAATAAAAAAGTAAAATAAAATGTTCGACTAATCTAGATGTCTAGGCGGCAGATTAAGTGCTATAAGCGGGCAACTAGGCGCTCGACTAATTCACCTAGACACCAAATCAATTAGTCGGAGTGCCTATACCAAAATTGCGCCGCGCGACCACCGCCTAGCGCCTAGGCGGGGACTAGTCGGGCGCCTAGAGTGATTTTTAGAACAATGGACGAAACCAAATGCTGCTCCCCTCGGCGTTTCGTATTTTGGCTTCTTCGGACCAATCACGCTACCAGAAAAGTGCGAAATTGGCACGACAGCTTTCAGATTTTTGCCCTGCCTGTGGGTTTTGGCACGGCATTGGCACAAACACCCAAGCCATGCATGCCACCTGGGGCCTTCCAAATCAAATGGCACGCGGTCTATATGTCGTGCCAAATTTAGGCACGACATGTGGCACAAAACCATATCTACAATCCAATTATCAAACATTAGATTTAACGTTTTGATCGATTGAACTAGTTATTTTTAGTCAAAGAAGTTAAATTTTGGTCGATCAGCCATTTTCCAAACAGCCCCGTAGATAGCAAGAAAAAAGTAAACACACAAAAATTTAACAAGCAAAAATCCATTGGCTTCGACGTACCTTAGAGGAATTTAAAACTTTTCACTAAAAACTAAGTCCTTTTACAAAGTTACCACATAAACTACCTAGTCTACACTTAGCCTCCCCAACTCTAATATCTTAGGTTGAGTTACACTACCTTATCTTGTTGATAAAGAGCCCCACAACTTTATCACTTTATCATAATATGGCTTTGAGTGGAAAATGAAAAATAAACACTTGTATACATAAATACACATTCATCCATAAACACGTGTGATGGCATTCAATTATTTTCAAAAAGAAAATTGAATCAAGTAATTATTAAGCTTCCAAAAGGTTTTAGCATTAACACAAATAACATATACACATATTGACTTATTACATAAACTAGCAATATTTGTATAAATACAACTTCATATTACTTTCAAATCGAATAACCTCATATGTACATCATTAAAGAGAGCTTATGAATTTATTTTTTTCATCCGTACAAGATTTATTTTAATTAAATTATTGATGAAAAAGTTAAATAGTGTATGGTGATGTCCATCGATTAAACACTTTATTGTGAAAATGAATTACTAATCATTAAAGTTGCAAATAATGTAATCCTAATATATATGGAGAATAGTTCATAATCTTATTTGTTGATTTTTTTTACTCCAAGAGGGGTCTGGGGGAGGGGGCTGGGGGAAGTCTGGAGTAATATGAAAATCACTCCATTGAGTTTTAAACCCTTATTGCCTAGCGGTTTTCGAACTCGAGACCTCCCATTAGGCATGGTAACCTCACAACCAGCTGAGCTGGTTTGCTTGGTGAATCTTATTTGTTGATTTGATGACAATTCAATCAAATAATTATTTGAATTTATGTGCACGTTAATATGTCTTAGTAGTATCTATCACTTTTTAAAGCTCTTTTCTTATAAAAATTAACACATTTTTTGCTAAGTAATACTACGTGCTTAATAGTGGCACTTTTAATTAATCCATTATGCTACTTAAAAAATCATCTAGGGGATTGTAGAGTAATGTTTTAGTGTGAACCTCCTTATCACAAATTGTCTTTTAAGAAAAGATATGGTATCCATTTAACTATAGAGCTGTGTAGAAGTGAATTGACACGAAAGGATTAAGGGTGATCTAGGAAGTTTGTGAAAAGGGTGAATCTATACAATTAATGTTATTTCTAACCCAACTGGTCAAGTAACTCATACGACAAAAGGCAAGAGTAGCAGCGTTACTCTTCCTCGAATCTCCTCCACGGTCCTTGATCCATTCATTCGTCTAGCTTAAAGTCTAATGTGGCATGGCTCTGGATTAATTTGAATAGTCTTGGTTTAAAAATTCTGGTTTGGTATAATTGCATGTAATGAAAATAATACTAGCTAGTAGTAGTAGTAAATGTAGGAATGAAGAAAAATAAAAACACTCATTTATTTCAATGAACTACTGTAAAGCCAGTGTTTTTTCTCTATAATGATTAACTTTTGGGGAAATTGATAGGTGGACTACATTTTGGGCAAAAATCCAAAGCGGATGTCATACATGGTCGGATTTGGGGAATATTTTCCGAGAAGGATCCACCACAGGGGGTCATCATTGCCTTCTACGGCGGCAAATCCAAGTCATTTGAGCTGTAACTATGGCTTTGAGTATTTTTACCATACTTCCAAGTCCAATCCCAATATCTTAACTGGAGCCATAGTCGGGGGTCCAACAATAAGAGATGAATTCATAGATGATCGTATGAATTATAATCAGTTAGAACCTACAACATACATTAATGCCGCTGCTATTGGACCTCTAACTTACTTTGCTGCTAGATACCAGAGCTAGAAGTGAACTATATATGTTGGTTTTATTTACCTAGTATATGCCAACAATCTTTTGTAAGGTGTTTGTGACTCTCATTCACTTCAAACCTCATTAGTATTTCCACTACTACATTTCATAAATCTCACATACTCAAAGAGACAGACTTAAAAAGTGAAAACTGGTATCATTGACCCATTGGTCTCTAACCAAGGGAAGCGTATATGGTACCACAGGTTGTACGGTGCTCACCGTACAGTCAGTGGCATTTTTGTAATTTATTTGAAATTCGTGTCTCGTATTAAATGAGTATTAAACCACACATAGTGAGCAAGTGACATATTTTGTTGAGCATTAGAAGCATAACATTGAGCATCATGATCTCTGCTTCATCTCTTCGAATTTACTTTCTTTTCCTTATTTTTTTTCTTTATAAAAACTTATTAAATTATATCTATAATCAACTCTTATGAACTCCAGTATGTGAATTTAATGCAATATGATACTTTGGAAATATACATTGGTATGTCATATTACAAATGATCATAACATGAATACCCGTTGAGCATACATAACTTATAAAATGAGAATTGATATGAAAATCATAAGTACTTTTAATTGAACATCAAGACATTTTTATTGAGCATCAACTTGAAAAGTATGACCAATGATTTTCATTATGCGATTGTGATGAGCATCGAGTCTGTTCTTTTTAAATGAGCATAAAGTAACACCAAATGAGCATATGTAACTTACAAGATGAGTATCAAAAAATTTAAAAGTCCATTTGTGTATGCTCATGTGTTAAAAAAAATATGTTCTCATTAATATATATGAAGTATGGTTGTTTTCATAAATATGAAGTATTTAATATATATGTTTTAATATATATGTTAAAACATATTAAAACATGTTTTAATATATGGTTGTTCTCATAAATATGTTTTAAATATATATATGTTTTAAAAAATATATATTAATAACAACCATATTAAATACTTCTCATTAATATATATTAAAACATATATATTTAAAAAAAAAAATGTTTTAAAAAATATATATATTAAATATGTATACTCAAAAAATACTTTATATTTAACACGTATGGTTGTTTTAATTTGCTAAATGTGCTTCTATGTTATGCAACGTACGAACTAATTGTACACCTACTCATTAATCAACCGTTCGATTCTCTTAATTAAAGGCTAGGATTTGTTCTCACTTCTTACAATAAGGAATGTTCTCATTGGAACCACTCCATATATATATATATATATATATATATATATATATATATATATATATATATATATATATATATATATATCCCTATATATATATATATAAGATCAAATTAAGCGTTATGTGTTGATAACACCAATGATCACTATCATCTAATCATCTATTTATATATTATTATATTATATATAAGAAAAGAATAGGATCATAGAAATACATTTTTGGCCCTATTTAATCCTACGTGTGTGCCTCTTATTAATCCCTACATTTTCTCCTCTTAAGCCACATGTCTTTCTCTCCTAATGAAGTTACCCCGTTGCTACTAATAATAACTAATAACAACAAAAACGTATGCCTCATTACCGTACTTCACTCCACTCATTTCTCTCTTTCTAATCTCATCTGAACTCTTTTGATCTGATATGAATCTTTCTAATCTGATCTGATTTTAATATTTCTATAATTATAATTATAATAAGTATATTTATAATTGTAATTATAAATATAATTTAAATATAATTATAATTGTATTCGTAATTATAAAAGTATAATTATAAATATAATTAAAAGTAAATTATAATAATACCTATTACACTAATTATAATTATAGCTATAATTATAATTGTAATTATAATTGTAATTATATTTATTATCTGATCAAATTATAAATCATGTTTGAACTTTTCTGATCTGAACGTTTTTTATGAGACCTGAATGTTTCTAATCTAATCTAATATGAATCTTTCTGATTGATCTGAATTCTTCTTATCTGATCTGATCTGAATTTTTCTGATCGGATCTGATCTGAATTGTTATGATCGGATCTGATCTAAATTGTTATGATCGGATCTGATCTGATCTCAATACAATCTCAATAATGTTAAAAATGTCATATATTAGTAAAAATGAGCAAATTTGCATATGAATGTGAGTATTATCGGTGAATCACATCATCACTATTGGAAATAATAAAAAATAGTATAGGATGTTAGATAAAATGAAACATATTATAAAAGAAATGTCACCATGAAAAACTAATACCATAATGGTAAAAGAAATGAATTAATGTAAAAAAATGTCAATATATTTGCAATACTAAAATAATCTCAGAGTTGCTAAAGAAATAACAAATTTGCAATATTACATGCATTGTAAACCCGAAAAATAATATCGTTAGTGGTGAGCTCTTTCATTGTTATCATTATATTGAAAATAAGCTTGCTAACTATTGAAAGGAAAAAAAATCTCTCTTTAATATATAGTTCTTTTAAATATATGATAATCGGCTAAAAATCGAGTAGAAGATTTTTATCTCTCATATGTAGTGCTTTTAGGTATAAGGTAAACTGACTGACAAATGAACGGGAGAACTTTCTCTTTCATATGTAAGGGTTTTAGGTATAAGAATGTAAGCTTGCTAATAATTGAGCGAAAGAGTTTTCTCTCTCAAATTTGGTGTTTTTAGAAATTACAAGATAAGTCTGCTAACAATTGAGCGAGGAATTGACCGAGGGGATAATTTTCCCTCTCATATGTAGTGCTTTTAGGTATCAGAAGATAAACTTGCTAACAATAGAACGAGATAACTTTCTCTCTCACATGTAGTGTTTTTAGCTATAAGGTAAGATGGTAACTATTGCGCGGGAGAACTTTCTTTCTCACATGTAAGAGTTTATGTATATATATGAAGATAATATTGCTAATAATTGAGCGGGTAAATTTTCTCTGTCATATGTGGTGGTTTAAGACTTGCTAACAATTGAGTGGGGGAGTTGAGGGAAATAATGTTCTCTCTCATATATATGTGGTGATTTTAGGTATTAGAATACAAGTTTCCTAACAATTGAGCGGGATAACTTTTTATTTCATGTGTAGGTTTGTTGAATATAAGGTAAGCCGACTGACAATTGAGCAGAATAATTTTTTTCTTATTTGTATTGCTTTTAGATATAAGAAGCTAAGAAGATAAGCTTGCTAACAATCGAGCGAGAAAATTTTCTCTCTCACATGTTGTGCTTTTTTATGTAAGTTAAGATAAGTCAGCTAACAATTGCACGGAAGAACTCTCTCTCATATATAGTTCTTTTAAGTATAAGATAAGCCGCTAACAATTGAGCATATGATTTCTCTCTCCCATATAGAGAGTGCTTTTAGGTATAAGGTAAGCCGGCTAACAAATGAACGGAAGAACTTTTTCTTTCATATGCAAGGGTTTTAGGTATAAGAAGATAAGATTGCTAACAATTTAGTGAAAGAATTGAGTGTGAGAATTTTCTCTCTCATATGTAGTGATTTTAGGTATTATTATTAAGAAGAAGATAAATAAATATCTTACAATTGAGCGGAAGAACTTTATCTCTCACATATAGTACGCTCTTTTAAGTACTCCCTCCGTCCCCTAAAACTTTGTCATTTTTCCTCTTTGGGGCGTTCCATAAAATTTGTCACTTTCCCTTTTAATCAATTATTCTGTGGTTCTTGTTATTTCTTTCTCCTCTAAACAAAACTTAACCACATAGTTTTTACTTTATTATTCTTTGTGCCGATCAAACTTGGCAAAATTTTAAGGGACGGAGGTAGTATAAGATAAGCCGGCTAACAATTGAGCCGAAGAATTTTTCTCTTCCTTATGTAGTGCTTTTAGGTATAAGGTAAGCCGACTAACAATTGAACGGAAAAACTTTATTTCTCATATGTGTCAGTTTAGGTATAAGAACATAAGATTGCTAATAATTGATCTAATGAATTTTATCACTCATATGTATTGTTTTTAGGAATCAGAAAATAAACTTGCTATCAATTGAACGTGGGAATTGAGAGGGATAATTTTCTCTCTCATATGTAGTGCTTTTAGTTATTCTATATAAAAGATAACTTTGCTAACAACTGAGCGGTATAACTTTCTTTATCATATGTAGGTCTTTTAAGTATAAGATACGTTGACTTACAATTGAGTGGAATAATTTTCTCTATCATTTATATTACTTTTAGGTATAAGAAGATAAAATTCCTAACAATTGAGCGGGATAATTTTTGCTCATATATGTAATGCTTTATAGTATAAGTTAAGATAAGCCAACTAACAATTGAGCGAAAGAATTTTCTCTCTCTTATATAGTGATTTTAGATACAATATTTTAGATATAAGAAGGATTAAGCTATAATCCGTCTAACAATTGAGCGAGAGATGTATCTCTCTCATAAGTAGTGCTTTTAGGTATAAAATAAAATGATGAAGCTAACAATTGAGAGGGAGCTAGAATTTTATCTATCATATATAGTGATTTTTGGTATAAGACCAGCCGACTAACAAAGAAATAATTTTCTCTCTCATATTTAGTGCTTATAAGTATTAGAAGATAAGCTTGATAATAATTGAACGGAAGAACTTTCTCTCTCATATATAGTTCTTTTATGTATTAGATAAGTCGCTAACAATTAAGCAGGACAATTTCTCTCTTGCTTTTAGGTATAAGGTAAGCTTGATGATAATTGAGCGGGGGAATACTCATATATGTAGTTCTTTTAAGTATAAGATAAGCCGACTAATAATTAAGCAATATAATTTTTCCTCATATGTAATGTTTTTTAGTATAAGATAAAATCCGGCTAACAATTGAGTGTGCGGATTTTCTCTCAAAAGTTGTTCTTTAAGTATAAGATAAACCGACTAAGAATTGAGCATTATATTTCTCTCTCTCTCATATGTTAGCACTAATTT